GATATCGCACAGATTGCACATTGATATCGTAATCATTGCACGTTGATATCGCACAGATTGCACATTGATATCGTACAGATTGCACATTGATATCGCACAGATTGCACATTGATATCATACAGATTGCACATTGATATCGTACATATTGCACATTGATATCGTACATATTGCACATTGATATCGTACATATTGCACATTGATATCGTGCAGATTGCACATTGATATCGTACATATTGCACATCGATATCGTACAGATTGCACATTGATATCGTGCAGATTGCACATTGATTTTGTACATATTGCACATTGATATCGTAAATATTGCGTAAAATATTCTAAAAGCAATTACACCACATCTTAAATCTTATTAGATAATTTTTTAAGTTGTTTTGCTTAATTAATAATTGCTCTGTTGTATTTTTCGTAGTGTATAATCTCTTATTTTGCCAGGTTGAGGATCTGACCTCTCAGCTTGTCCTTTTGCTAAGAACCCTGTGTGCCTCAGCTGCATGTGAATAAAATGCAACAAAATCTACTTTGGGTTTGGCTGGTCTCAGAAAACAGCCCTCAGATAAATAATGTCAGAATAAAAATGTCAGAAATAAACAGAAAGCCGTGTTTTGCAGATCAAAGGGAAGCAGGGGCCACTCGAAATGCTCGTGGTCATGACATGCTGCCATTCAGTCGTGCCACGTCTGCTTCTAATCCCACCCGGGCTAATGTGTGGAAGAACTGGAACGTGTGTCTCTTTCTGCAACTATTGCTTCTCTGTGCGTTCTTGAGCTTTTTGGGGTTTGCTTGAATGCACATCGGTGGACGTGTGTGTATTTGTGTTGACTTAATGCAAGGATTCATGATTGTGTTAAAGAGGTGGTGGCGGGGAGGGGGGTGTTCTGTCACTCAGACCTCCACATCCACTCTTAAAGAATCAATCTGCAACCTTTCAACACAACTGCTTTGGGAATTCAAATAGAAAAGGCCCTCTTGACCTTTTCATAATGCCACAGCACATGGAGACCACACACAGCACACACAAGCTTTGTAAATTACCGATGGCTGTAAAATGCCACGCACTGCAAGTAGGTAATGAGGTAGGATCACAGCGGAGGAGGCTGGGAAATGTCCACAGTGACTGACGATGGCGTAAACTGGATTAGCTTTAATTCTGTTGCAGCGGAGCGTAATGTTCAGATGACCTCCTGAGACGAAGGCAAAGGTTACAGAAATGTTTGAACTGATGCAGGCCTGAGAAAATACTAAAGACTTTTTTATTACTTTGCTTTGAGCACATTGGGGTGTTGTCTCATCAAAACATGTTTAATACAACACCCAATTTATATCTAAAAGAAAAAATGGCTTGTTTATGATGAATCTCTTGCTCACTTTGAGACTCTGTGTGCAGCTGTGGGGTGCCATTTGTAAAGTTACACAGTCAAAAATTACCACCAATATTTTTTGTTTTATTTAGCCTTTTATAAGAAAAAATGAACATACATTTTTCAAAGTCAGTTTTTCACCATATGATTTATACAGTTATAAATGTCATAGTTTATAAACTAAATATTAACTTACAAATTAAATATGTAGTTAACAAGCTAAATATTTAACTTGCAACTTAAATATTTAGCTCAAAACTAAATATTTAACTCACAAGTTAAATATGTAGCTTGTTAGCTAAATATTTAATTTGTAAATTAAATATTTAGTTTACAAACTGACATTTATAAATGTATGAATCATATGGTGAAAAACTGACTGAAAAATAAATCTGTTCTTTTTTTCTTATAAAAGGCTAAATAAAACAAAAAAATTTGGTGGTAATTTTTGACTGTGTACCTTTACAAATGGCAGCCCATATGCAGCGCACAGATCTGTTGATCTTTAGTTTTCTTCTACAGCTGATCACGTTTTAATCCTCATGTTGATCTCTTTGCAGGTACTACGCTATCTGCTGCCAGCCTTTAGTCTACCGCAACAAAATGACTCCAATGCGAGTAGCTTTGATGATTGGGGGCTGCTGGATTATTCCCACCTTCATCTCCTTTCTGCCCATCATGCAGGGCTGGAACAGCATCGGCATTGACCAGTGGGTGAGTTCTAAAGTGTGTTATTGTAGAAAAAGTGTTTGTTTAGACCAGTGGTGTCCAAAGTAGGTCCACAAGGGCCGGTGTCCTGCATGTTTTAGGTGCTGCCCTGGTTCAATGCAGGTGAACCTAAGTAGTGCTTCATTAGTAGGCCTCCTCAGTTATGCCATCAAAGTCTGCAGAGGCCTATTAATCAGGCATTCCTTAGGTTCAGCTGTGTTGGACCAGGGCAGCACCTAAAACATGCAGGRCACCGGCCCTTGAGAACTGACTTTGGACACCACTGGTTTAGACGATTTACAGAAATATAACCAAGCATTTTTAATCTCAGCATCTACACTGTCTGGTCCAAAAAGAAGTTGCCACCAAAAACAGGTTACTCTAATATTTGGTTGGACCTTTATCTTTGATTCTGGCACACATTCTCTGTGCCATTGTTTGGATAAGCTTCTGCAACGTCACCAGATTTATTTCCACTATGATCTTGCATTGACGACGGTAGAGTCTGACCTTCTCCATCACATCCCAAAGACTCACAGTGGACTCTGTGGAGCCAATCCATGAGTGAAAATGATTTCTCATGCTCCCAGAACCACTCTTTCACAATAAGAGCCTGATGAATCCTGGCATTGTCACCTTGGAATATGGCCGTGCCATCAGAGAAGGAACAATCCATTGATGGAATAACCTGCTCATTTGGTATATTCAGGTAGTCAGCTGAACCTAGACCTGATCAACTGCAGGAACCCCACATCATAGCACTGCCCCCACAGGCTGTACAGTAGACACCATGATGGGTGCATCACTTCACCTGCCTCTCTTCTTACCCTGATGCCCCATCACTCTGGAACAGGTAAAGACTAGACTCATCAAACCACATGACCTTCGTCCATCGCTCCAGAGTCCARTCTTTATGGTCTCTAAAAAAGTGAAGCATTTTTCCAGCTAGYTTCACTAGTTTTCAGCTACACAGCTGTTCTGTTCCAAACCTGAGTACCCTTCGCATTGTGAGTGTGGAAACACTCTTACTTTTAAGTGTTTACCAATCACGATCTTTCAGGATTTTTTTTCCGGACACATTTCTTCCTCTAACATGATGGGTCCCCACTACCCTTCCAGTTTTTAATAATGCATTGGACAGTTCTTAACCCAATTTTAGTAGTTTCTACAATCTCTATGATGTTTTCTCTGCTTGATGCCAATGATATGACCCTTCTCAAACAGACTGACATCTTCTCCACGACCACAGGATTGGYCTTTCATGGGTGTTTAAGAAATGAGAAGCAACTCATTGCACCAGTTGGGGTTAAATAACTTGTTGCCAGATGAAAGATAAATGCCCAGGCACTAATTATCCAATAGGAGGCTCAAGTCTATTCGCTTATTTAAATCCAGGTGGTGACTTTATTTTTTGGCCAGGCAGTGCATATTGCAGATTCTTGTTGATGGAAGGTAGAAAACATTGTATATGAAGATCTTCGGAGAAAGTTTGTGAAAATAGAGAAGGAAAAATCAGACCAGAAATGTTTTACATGAACTATAAATGCTTCAAGAAACTCAGTGTTTTATTTCTGAAACTGGAAGTTGGTTCCACAGGACTGACCTCCGTTTGCAGAATCAGAGAGAAACTTTTATGGACCTGACTATAAATCAGAAAAGACCCCTGTTACAAACAAATTTCCTCTTGAAATCAATACCCAAAGAGAAGCTGAAGTTTGACTGAATGCCAATCCAAATTACATCCCAGCTGCCTGCTCAGTTTGGCAGCAGTAAACACACACAGAAACACACCTTTCCATTTTTTCCTAACACACACCATCATGATTTTATCACAAGTGGAATCTAAAATTAACGCTGTGCAGTGGCTCTCCGTGGGTCTAATTAACGCTGTTTGAATATTCTGTAAGGCCAGTCAGTTCTGGCACAAACCTAAGCTCCGAAAAACACAACAAAACAACCACAACTGAGGTGACAGGAGACAGGCTCGGTTGCGTCTCTGTGGTTGTTTGTGCTGGCCTCTGCTGGTGTTTGGGCTTTCTAGAATTCCAGCTCTGATTGAGCAAAAACACAACGGCTTTACCCGAATCCACATCACAAAAATCAACAAGGTTCGGGTTTTTAGGGTTCTGTAAGCAAGTGTGACACGATGACAACATTTTACTGAACATTGCATGAAAATATAGCAGCTGTCAATAAAGTTGCACTTTTTAAATTTCACATTATATTACAGGAGTTAGCAAGATATGTATGAACCACCAGTAACAATTTAACTCTCACAAGAATCAATGCTTGGACATCTATAGCTCAGTCGCATTTGGAGTCTCATAAATTTTACCATTCTTATTAGGGATGCAAGTTATCAGTTAATGAATTCAAGTTGATTGATCTTGTCGATTGACTAACGATTAATTGATAAGCGGACATTTTCTTAAAAATTTGACATTTCTCTTGAATCAAGGGTCGTTCTATAACATGAAAGGCTAATTTTGTACATGTTGAATTTAAAAAAAGAAGTACATTATTATGTTTTAACAACTTATTGTGCCAGCTGTTTTAAACACCGACTGAATAAATAAAAAATTGTGGATTTCTCACACATTATTAAACTCGGACATATTTAGAAAATATAACAAAACACGAATCTATTAGGTTGCTAGTTGAAAAAAAAAGAAAAGAATAAAAAATGTAAAACACTTAACCCACCCTGAGCAGAGAGATGTACAACTATCATTTAAACACAGGGTAACATTTTAAGCTATAGATTAACTAAAAAGCAAATTATAAACAGTTACTGTTCATTAAATTAGCTCACTGACCRGGTTACGTCACATAGATGAGATTACCTTCACGTTAATTATTTGTTTTTGTTCTTTCACTTGAGTTAAAGTCAACAGGAAGAAGCTAACATTAGCTACAGTTGGGGCGCCGGAGGCGAGGAAAGGTGAAATTTAAGCTACGTTCTAGGGTTGGGTTTTCGGAAACTACCTGGTGGATCGTCACCAAATTGCAGAAGGTGGATTTTTTTCGGCACCTTTTACRACCCAGACTTGTCCCCGTGGTCCTACGACCTTTCGTGTGGATTTTAGCTACCGGGAGGGAATTGCGTTCTGCCGCTCACATATGTTAAACAGGGCCCGGGGAGAGGGGCTAAAGTGCAAGAGGAGTGGGAATTGGCCCCACGGTCCGGGACTTAGGACCCGTTTTACGTGGGACATTTGGGCATACATTGCATTCATATTTTCCCCTGATTTTTCCCCATGCAATTGGAGCGAAGTGTCCGGGGCCCCTGCTCCTGTTCCCAGGGGCCCAGACCAACAGGAGCTGGACTCACGCATCAGACATTTTCCATTAATCAAATGGAAGTAATTTTAATCTAATCCTAGTGCTGGGCGGTACGACCCAAATTTTACATCACAGAATTTTCAGCTCAGCCTCTGTGCACCAGTCAAATAAACCCCAGTACAAAATCACTTCCCCCGGGCTTTTCACAATAAAAGCACGTTAAAGTCTCCATGTATTAACGTCACATTAAATCTAACCGTACACGTCACCAAAGAGTTGTTTACTACATTCAGCGATGGTGAAAACAGGACTTTTGTTTTTACGTCCATCAATATTAGAAGTGCAATCGACACCCACCGCCAGTTATTCCTACAAGCTGCTTCAACAATAACATTAGCTTGCTAATGCGCAGAGTGGTGCTGCGAGGAAAAGTGTCCCCCRGGAAACAGTTCACTGGTGTGCCACGAAATTTTCAGAACTTGATCAGGCTATTTAAATCGGTATGTCTGGCATTCCGAAAATTTATATCACAACAAAAATAAAAACTGGTTTTCGACATGAACCGGTAAAACCAGTACTATAATACACCATTATTCGACATTTAATCACAAGTCAACTATTTGCAAAGCTAATTCTCATCTCTGTCATCCTTCATAGAAGGTGACCTATGACCTAATATGATAAAAGGTTTTGTATTGGTAGAATTCCAATGTGGAGGCAACTCCTATTGGTTTTACAGCACCTGGTATTCCCAGGTGGTCTCTCATCCAAGTGCTAACCCTGCTTAGCTTCCAAGACCAGATGAGATCTGGTTCAGGGTGGTCTGGCCACTAAAAAGGCAGAAGGGAATGCTAGCCCCTTGATTTTATTTTCCTGTTTTTGTCAGATTGAGGAAAGACGGCGAAGCAGCAACTCCACCTCCTGTGTCTTCATGGTCAACAAGCCATACGCCCTCACCTGCTCTGTGGTGGCCTTTTACATCCCCCTGGTCCTCATGGTGCTGGCCTACCAGAGGATCTACATCACGGCCCGAGCGCACGCCCTGCAGATCAGCATGCTGCAGCGGGCCGGTGGCGCCGGAGCCAGCACGCCCGGCACTTCCGGCGCAGGAGTGGGTGCAGACTCTGCTGACCATCAGCGCAACCACCGCATGCGGACGGAGACGAAGGCGGCAAAGACTCTATGCATCATTATGGGATGTTTCTGCCTCTGTTGGGCGCCGTTCTTCGTCACCAACGTGGTGGACCCGTTTATAGATTACTCAGTGCCCGAACAGCTGTGGACAGCCTGCCTGTGGCTGGGTTACATAAACTCCATGCTGAACCCCATCCTCTACGCCTTCCTCAACAAATCCTTCCGCCGTGCCTTCCTCATCATCCTGTGCTGTGGGAGGAAGAGGTACCGCAGGCCGTCCATCATGGTACCGAGTACTACCTGTACGGCCACTCAGATCAACGGTTCAACACACGTACTCAAGTAAGTTCTTTAAATCTTTATTTATTCATTATTTTTTGTTTCCAGCTGCTGAAACTGCTGAGCATAAACCTCCTCGGGGGTTCTGCTGAATTTGAGACGGAAAACTTTTCTGTCTGGTGTTAACTTTTTGTTATTATATTGTGAACGACATTTGCTCTCGCATTAAAACTGCTGGATTTACAATTCAAACTACAATTAGTGAGGCCCAGCTTTAATAGCTAGTGAAAAAGTATAAAATATAAAACTGCATGCCAGGTATAGGAAAAAACTGTTTTTCACAACAGTTGCAGCACAATTTGACTTAAAAATCAGATATATTTAAAGTCCGACAAACTGTAATTTGCATTTGACATAAATCAGAGTACATATTTTTGTATCTTCCATTTAACAAACCACTGTGTGTTGATATGTGCACATAAATACATTTAAAGTATTTAGAGTACAACTTGAACTTCAGTAAAGTTGTGTTTTCAGATTGTTGCTTCGGTTCTGACAGATTATATTTGAACTTTGATTGCACAGATTGTACTGTTTGCATTAACTGGTAAAAAGAAATAAATATTTGTGTGAAAAAACAAAGTTATTTCAGGTCTGAGGTAGAGATATTTCTAAGTATTTAAATGTGCCACGAACCACTAGTTTCCAAAACTTTCATCCAGTCATGTTTCATAAATAATATGTGAAATACGTTGTTGCCAGGTAAAAGTCTGTTTTTGTGTCTTTGTGAGAGAACCTTATCTTTGGTAAATAATGAATTTTTTTGCCCAATTTTACTCTTTTACTCCCATTTTTTATTTTATGAAAGATTTCAACAGTCAACATTTATGTGATCACATAAAAGTAGCTAAATTATACATTTCAAAAAGTGTGTACTCAATAACCTCTAAGCATAGATTTAATTATGTAAATGTTTTTAACTCAATTTCCTAATTATCATTTATTTTATTTTATAAACATGTAAACAAAGGAGCTCATAGATTTATGCTCGTCCTAAATGTGCATACCTCTTAATTTCAACGTTTTTTGCACATAATGAT